ACACCAAACACACACACACACACACATACACACACACACACACACACACACACACACACATACATTCACTCCCAAACACACTCGCACAGGTTTCCTTTCCCATCATAAAGTAACATATCAAAAGATTAAGTCTTTCTGTAATTGACTGGACAAAGGGCCACCTTTTCTCACCCAACAGGTTAAATACTGCATAGCTAATAGATTGGAGCAACTTCTGATCTACGACATCACAGAGGAAAACTTTGTCATTTTTACTTCATAAGTAAGTCATCCATTTTTCTTTCTACTAGTAGGGAAAATCAAGTGTAGTTTTGTGGAAAAGGATTAGAACTTCTGTAATATGCCACATTTTTTTCTTCAGACAACCTCCTTCATTTTTTTGAGAAGCATTTCTGGTATTTCATTATATCTGGTAGTGGTTAAAAAGATTAAGGATTAGCAATTTCTTTAGCTTTGACAATCTCCAGGGGTTCAAAATATGTCTGGTAGACACTCAGAAAGTTAAAACAAAGGCAGAAAAAAAAAAACAATGAAAAGGAATAATAATAATAAAGAGTAACAGGAAATAAAAAGGAGTTGATAGAAAGTTACTTCAAATGGCACTTATTTCTCTTGTTGAATTGTTTATAATCTCTATTTCTGGCCAAATTATTTATAAAATATTATGATTTAAGAAAAAAAAATTTCTGGAAAAGTCTTGCTGAAACGTTAAAAAACACATGTAAATTTTTTTAAGAGAAGAAATTTGCACATTTCCTGATTTTGCTTTTATGCTGATCTCTTATGTTTGTTCAAAATGCTTAGGTTGGATTCCCTGAAACTTGTAACTGAAGGTGATCTCAGCCTCCTTGTTGAAATTGTGAATTAATCTATAAGGGTAATGACTGTGGGGCCTATTGCTAACAAGGGATTTTTGTTTTTATATTTCATTTTAAAGCATGACTCCCATCATATTTATGAAGTAATTTATATTAAAACTACCTTCATTATCCAGAGGCTTCCTAAGCTGAGGGCTATTTGTTCAGTATTGTAACTATGTATATTTGTCCTGGGGATATAGGGTAATGGAGACTAAGGAGGCTCCTTGTGAAAAACTTAGACCTTGGGACTCTCTCCTTTGCCCTTTGCTCCTTTTGGTAATGCTATGCTTTTTTTTTTTTCCCCACCAGTTATAATCTTGTCTTAATCAACATTTGCCCATATTTCTAAACATTTCCCTTTATGTGCATAATTATGAGTCTATGGTAGTTTTAATGACAGGAAGGTGTGTCTGAATTCAGTTCTTAAGTCCACTGAGATAACAGATACATAGACTGGAAATACCAAAAGGATAGATTCTGGAGAAAGTGGCCTGACTGACTTCTTTATCTGTTAGTCATGATTCTCAAGAAGAAAGCATTTATCACAAAAACAAATCATTTGCTGTGGAAAAGCAAAGAATTAACCAAGAAATTTGGTTTCCTTTATTCCCCTCTGTTCCCAATCTCAAAAATTTGACCCATCCCATAACATCATATTGTATACCTTAAATAAATACAATAAAATTTAATTGTAAAAAAAAATTACCAATCACCAACTCCTTTTTCATAAAAACATAATCTCCTTCTACAAACATTCTGATGGGGAATAGGAAAATTTATGGTCGTTATTTTTTTTTCTGAGGAAGACGGACAGTTTGTCCTTGCAAACTAATTTTTAGCATTAAATTTTGTTTTGTTGCCTCTTCTTATTTGAGAAAGTGTATGGTAATTAGATGAAAGAAGACTAGATAAAAAATATATAATGGATTCTCTGGAAGTATGAATATTATTTCATATATCTGAATTTTCTTCAGCTCCTTAATTATGGGCTTACATGTTTTTGTATGCATCAATTTAGAGTGTAAGTGAATTTTTAAATTTTAATTCACACAGTAGTTTAGGTATGAATACCTTTGCATGTTACTTTACTAGCTTTATGTTGCTTCATTAGCTGCACAAATTCCCTCAGTCTGAAGTATGGCATTTAAGCATTTCTTACCATTGAGTATTGAAATTACTTTTTATCTTTTCTCATTTTATAGATTTACAATACACAAAGATGAATGCTACATATGTAAATATCTACACATAGCTGTATAATTTTTATTATAAACTGCTTTTGGAATTCCTCAGACAAGACATTCCTGGTTCAAAGGATTTAACCAGCATGAGTTCCAGTGATAAAATTTCTTACAAGAAGAGTTTAATCTTAAATAGAGTTGCAAATGTATTCAATTCTTAAGTTCTTAAATTTTGAAAAAAAAATTTTAAGGGGGTGTAATCGGCTTACCAATGTTTTAAGAAAACATTGAAAACCAGACTGCTTCTTGCCTTGAAATTAACTGCAAGACAGGTGCAGTGGTTGGCTGGACGTAGAAAGCAGGCTTTTGGACCAGTACCATTGTTGGGGTCTTAGCTGGAGCACTTTAGAAACAATTATTCCAAAAAATGGGCAAGGAGGACACTGAGGAGGCAACTTTAATAGATTTAGATTGAGTACAGATCTTAGGATCTTAGTACAGAAACACATGAGATAAGAAGTGATATAGATTCAATGTATATGGAATATATACATTCAGATTCCATATATATGTATATATACATATGCAATAAATATATATTAAATAAATAGATCCTTAGGGATTGAACCTAAGGTCTCACACAGGCTAGGCAAGTGTTCCATCACTGAGCTACATTCCAAGCTGCAATTTTAAAGTAGTTTTGTGCATGGACCAGATTTCACAGTGTGGAATTTTTCATTTGTAGCTTGATATTGGTGCTCAAAAAGTTTGGAATTTTTGAGCAGTTTGGATTTTGTATTTTTGAATTAGGGGTGCTCAACCCCTGTGCTAGTGGATAGATAAAGGTCAGCTATTATCTGGGGTTAAATCAGTCCCAAGGAAATGAGGTTATCTAGCAGATACTTTAAATAAAAAGAAGGCACTGTTCTGTATCTAACTTCTAAATCTATCCTCAGTTCTGTGTCCTGAAACTTTGTTTGAAGATTTACATTAAAGAGACATTTCATCCAGTTGATTTTTGAAGGAGAGAAGTAGCTACCTATTTCTGAAGATTTCTATGGGTAGAGATCTTATCAGTAGGTTCATTCTACCCTAAAAGTTCATGTTTTTACTTCTTAATATTAAATGATCATATGGAGTTGAGGTTTGAATATTAATTTCCTAAGTTTGGCGTTTCCTCTTTCCCTGAGACACAGGAAAGCTAATTCTTTATTTCATTTTCTTTTCCCACTCCCTGCCATTCAGCTATTGGTGTAGATAGATAGTAATTGAATTTTTTTGGAGATATTACTCATAAGATTTGTTGAAGCTTTACCCTGAATAAGAAAGTTTATAAAGGTTTAAACTCTAAAGATCTTTAGCTACTCTACCATTCTAAACATGAGGGAAAAATTATGATCTTTAAAACATGACACTAATCATTGTTTTAAGATTATGACTGTTGTTATTTTTAGAATATTTTCTATGAATGGCTAAGTGATTTGCTATGTAAGGACAACATTTTCTTTTTTTTTTTAATTTTTTATTGTGGGTTGTTCAAAACATTACAAATTTCTTGACATATCATATTCCACACTTTGATTCAAGTGGGTTATGAACTCCCACCTTAGGACAACATTTTCGACAACATAATTCTCATTATTTCTCTATGTAGTAGTACTATCTCGTTAAAGAGAAAAAGCCTTGTTTCCTCCTCAAACTAATTTTTTTTAAACAAAAAAAAACATTTAAACATGTCTTCTTAGGTTGGGGATATGGTTCAGTGATAGAACACTTGCCTAGTATGTGCAAGGCCCTGGATTCAATCCCCAGCACCACAAAAAACTGAATAAAATAAATAAATAAATAAAATTTAAAAATAAATAAATAAAAATAATAATGTCTTCTTGCAGGTAATTTTTGCAACTATCAAGGGATGATTAATGCATTATTTCTTATCCTTGCCTCAGACTATTTTATGGCCCTACAAAATTTGTCTATAGCACTTCACTTTGTCTCAATCAGAATAACCACACAATCTTGCTTATCAAACACTATTAAAAAGCCAATATTTATATCTTGCTTTTATTAAAGTAGGCTAAAACCAATTCTTTAAGTAGAAGATGTGGAGTAGTAAAATGTTTTATTAACTTAAACGTAAGAGAGTATATTACTGTAAGATTTTGATCCATCAGTGTTCCAAAAAGTACTTTGACTTGTCACTTGGTAGGAGTTTTTGGTTGATTCAATAGTTTTGAACACACTTTTGATTTATTTCTTCTGACAAAGTGGATTTTTTCTTCTTCCTTTCTGTCCTACTTAAAAATAAATAAAAAGAAGAAAAAAATAATTAGGAAAATATGAAATTTTTTAATTCTATGAGAGGTTCTTTTTAATATTTGGCAAACCACTAAAAAGTGGTCTGTCAAGAAGAAATAAATGAGAATGAGATTCGACTTGGAATCTATATTCATTCAATAGGCTTTGCTTGGTCCAGCATTCTGTACACCTGGAATGGCAAAAGGAAAAATAATTATATTGAATTCTCTGCAGGCTCTGTTATGATTTGAGAAAATGAGACAAATGTTAACTAGTATAGAATTTGTATCACACATAAGTGAAAATCATATTATTGACTTAAACAAAATAGTTGGTCTTTTATCTGCTAAAATGGAATTAAACTGTTTTCACATAAAGTTGAGAACCTGGTAAAGCTTACTATCTTGGATACAGTAATGTACCTTTACAGAAAGTACTATATTTCCTTTTTTTTTTCATTTATAGATGATGCAACTTTCAAAACATTGCTGAAACATGAAACAAGAAGAGTATTTAAATATAACATAATTGTTCTACCTCTTTACCCGTCAAAGTGGCCTCATTCTACTATATTTCTTCTGTGCTCATATCTTGCATCAAATATTGGATAAGCTAAAGTGTGGAAGAAGAAATCACTGTTTTTCATAGTCATTATTCTGCAATGGGAATGCTGACTTTGAATCATCTATTTGTTGGGAGCTTTGTTGAGTCCAATGGAGCATCCCGTACAGTGTTCATCTCCCTTCTGATTCCATGTTGCCTGACTGTGGATTTCAGTGCCCCCCCTCTTATCCCAAATATGCCTTTCCTCTGGGTCTGGAATGCTCCAACTGAAGCTTGTACTGGAAAGTTTGACGAGCCGCTAGATATGAGCCTCTTCTCTTTAATAGGAAGTCCCAAGAAAGGTATCACAGGGCAAGGTATTACAATATTTTATACGGACAGACTTGGCTATTATCCATACATAGATAAGACAGACACAAGTGTGCATGGAGGAATCCCCCAGCTGGGGTCCTTACAAAAGCATTTGGACAAAGCTAGGAAAGACATTTTCTTTTACCTACCGGTAGACAACATGGGCTTGGTTGTCATTGACTGGGAAGACTGGAGGCCCACCTGGGAAAGAAACTGGTCACCTAAGACTATTTATAGGGAAAAGTCTATTGAGTTGGTCCAGCAACAGAATTTACGACTGAATATCACAGAAGCCACTAAGATCGCCAAAAAAGAGTTTGAAACAGCAGGAAGGAGATTCATGGAAGAGACTTTAAAATTGGGCAAATCAGTTCGGCCAAATCACTTCTGGGGTTTTTATCTTTTCCCTGATTGTTACAACCATGACTACAAAAAATCCCATTACACCGGAGCTTGCCCTGACATAGAAAAGAAAAGGAATGACGATCTGCACTGGTTGTGGAAGGAAAGCACCGCCCTTTTCCCATCCATTTATTTGAACAGCAACTTGCAGTCATCCTCACTAGCGGCACTCTTCTCGCGAAATCGTGTACAGGAAGCTATTAGGGTTTCTAAAATGATTAATGCTAGAAACCCACTTCCAGTTTTTGTATATACCCGCCTGGTTTTTACTGATCTTACTTTGCAATTCCTTTCTCAGGTAAGTAAATCAAAGTAGCAAAGTTTCAGAGTTATGAAACAGGGTCCATACATGGTGTGCAGTGAGACCGAAGAGCATTTTTGTGGGAAGTAAAGTTTAGCTTCTGATGTCATTTAGTCATACGTACAAGAGTAGTTCTAAGTCATTATATATATGAATGCAGAATGAGAATATTTTCTCTCTTTCATGTAATATCATCATGTAATCTCTCAGCAACCATGCAACATTAGGTAGTATACACAATATAGAAGCTCTATCTCCTTTTTTCATGGGTCTGCTCTCTTGTCAGTAGAAGTAATTAAGACAAGAATTCTCTATTCTTTTTTAATAAAAGGGATGTGGATGAAGAAATATTTAAATTACTGTTGTCAAAGCAGCAGGCTCAGCTTTGTAGTTAATATCCTGTGCATAACACTTTCATTTTGTTCCTCTCTGCTCCCTCTTTCTATCACTTTCACCAGGTTGACCTTGTGAATACAATTGGTGAGACTATTGCTCTGGGAGCCACTGGAATTGTAATATGGGGAACTCTTAGTTTAGCACGGAGTATGGTAAGTTGAACTGGTAAGAAAAAGATGAAGATATTTCTACCTTTAATGTTTTGGAGAATTGTTGTGTGTTAAGTAAGAAAATCAGTGTTATACTTGGCAGATAGTAAGTAGTAGGTGCTCAATGAATATATGCAGAATTGAACTATCTTGCATTTGTTTGGTTAGCTTATAAGGCAAAGAATATTCCAGTGAGAAATCAGAAATTCGGTGAGATTAATTGAAATTCCCTGAAGCTAGATGGCTTGTTAAGTAGCAAAACCAAAGCCATGATTTCAGTTTTCGGCGTGGAGTTTGGTGTCAGAAGATGAGTGTCTATTTTCATTCTTGTTTAATTTTCCATATCAGGTCTTTGCCCCTTCTTCAATCTTTGTGACTTAATGAAAGTGAAAAGCTATATATGAGGACACTATTAATTGGAGCCAAACTTTTCCTTTTCTGATGGATATGGAAATACTAATGGTGAATGTCCCATGGAGAATTTCACATGCAGTTCATGGCCTGAGGTCCTGTCCTCAGAGCATAGACATTGTACTCTAAGACCGGTATTATGTCTGTCTTATGTGGTTTAGATAGACTGGCAATATTCCTACTTTGTTTAAAAGTATAGTAACATTTGTGAAATTGTTTTAAAGTAGTCTTAGAACTTTCACCTATTTTAAATAAATATATTATCTCCAGTTTGATCTCTAATGAGAAAAAAGAAACAAAATACAAATCCAGGGAGAGATATATGTCTCTAGGTAATACCTTTTGTATGTGAGAATATTATCTTAAAATTGTGATTCTCCTAAGTATATTCTCAACTTTTATTACTTGTTTTTCCAAATCCATGAACCCCTTTCTTGGGGGATACTATTCATTCTATGATGGAACCATTCATGCATACTCCACATAACTTCCTTAGGAATAAAACCACCCTTAGTGTTTTTTTAAAAACTCCACCCTTAGTCTGATAAGTAATGAATCAGACATTTCACAATAAGTAGGATGTTATGATATACTATGTAAGTGTCACACTTGTTTTCTAATGTCACTTTAATCTTAGATTCATATTCTTTTACTGTGCCTCCCAAATCATCTTCAATATTATTCATTCATGCAAGGGGCATGGTGAACATCTATAATTCCAGGCACTCAGGAGTCTGAGGCAGGAGGATTCACAAGTTTCCAACCACCCTGGATGATTTATTGAGTCCTGTCTCAAAATAGAAAAGAAAAAGGGCTGGAGATATTGCTTAGGAGTAGAGTGTCCCTGGGTTGTATCCTGAGTTAAAACAAAAAAATAATTCAGGGACAGTCCTTTGACTTTAATAGGATTATTTAATTAATTCACTATTTAATGGCACTGTCTCAACATTGTCCCTTATAGACACTGTTCCATACATTTCTGCTACTTTTCCCAATTTATGATAATTTTGAAAGTTAGTGTTATCATTACTTCTCCATTTTTACATGTCAATAGACACACAGGTCACTTGTCATGTTTCCTCTGACCATTGAGAAACTGGTAATTGTAGATTTACTTGAAGTTGCTGGAACTGACCTAAAACAAGAGTTATGTAAACCATTTCTTTCCACTCCTTTTCACTAGACCCAGCAGTGTGATGGAGCCTTTTTAACTGGCCTCAGCTTGTGATACTTGATTGACAAATATTCAGAAATTTTGTGAGCCAGTTGTTAAAACACTGTCACTATTAAAAAATTAAATCATACAAACTCATAATAAAGTAAATTATTTTAAAAACAAAGGTATTCAAAATGTACTGATTAGTACATTAATAATACATGTCTGAGGTTATTTATATCTGTTGGAAATATATCTATTGCCTCTATATAAAAGGAAATAATATGTAACAGTTGCTACCTCATAATGCACACCATACTGTGTAATGGTGGTGTACTCAATTACCAGTTCTGCATTCAGTAGTATCAGATTGGTACTTGAAATTGACCATTGTAGAAGTATCTACATCATGATAAATTTTCAAATGTTGTAAACTAGCCCTTATTAATTAAAGAACCAGTTTTAGATCTTTCCATAGGCTACACCTTATTTAGACTAATGGGTTTCAAATTATTCTCATCTTTTTACTCCTCTGTTTACCTACCCCTATGGATTTGGGGAAGCCAACTGCAATGTCACCTGAACTTGGTATAAATTCTTCTATGTCCTTGATATTGGGAATGTAATACTGAAGAATATTAACAAAGTCTTTGCATGCTCAGAGTGCATCAATAAAAACATTTGGAATGATAAGTACTATACAGAGAATTAATAGAGAGATATGAGTTAGCAAGAAAACTTTCTGAGAAAGGTACGTCTAATTATAGAACTGTCAGAAGGACAAGATGGAGTAGTCAACTATGATAAAAATTGGGGGAAAGAGCCTTCCAAGCAGAGGGAACAGTAATGCAGTTTGAAATAAACCTGGTATGCTAGTGAAACAACCACTGTGTTGAAGGAGAGTGGTGGGGAGGGTTGTACAAAAGAAGGAAGGGTTACACCATGAAAGACCTTATGAAGTCAAGAGAAGTTTTTATTCTAAACTCCATGCAAATCCATTAGAGAGTTAGAAGGCAGATGGTTTTATTAGTTTTCTATTGTTACCATAAAAGTTATAATACCTAATGTCTTAAATAACAGATATGTATCACCTTTCAATTTTGTAGATGAGAAGCCCAGCAGGGTCTCCACAGGTTAAAATTAAAGTGTCAGCAGATTGCATTTCTTTCTAGGAGGTTCTCCAGTTGCTCATCTGGGTATTCAGCTGATTTAGTTCCTTGTGATTATAGCAGTGAAATCTCTATCATCTGAAAGGCCATTGGCTAATGGCCTTTCAATCTTTGAGAAGTCCCTACATTTTTCAGCTCCTGCTTCTTTTCTTCTATCTTCAAAGTTAGCAGTGGTAATTTAAGTTTCTTCTACATTTTGAATCTCTCCCCTTCATTCATCTTATCTTTCTAACCCAGCTACAATCATTTCTGTACTTTCAATGACTCATGTCATTAGATTGAACTCTTCCAAATAAGTCAGGTTAATCTCCCCTTCACATGCTACATTCACTCAATCATATCTACACAGTTTCTTTTACAATGTACATTAACATCATTACATGTTGTGGATTAAGGTACAGCCATCTTTGAAAGGTCATTATTACTCTAACAATAGATGATATCAGCTCAAAGAAAGTAATAAGAAATATTAAAAGGATGAGTGTGAGCAGCCAGTACTCTTTTACTTGCCTGCCAGGGTACCTCCACCATGCCCTGTGATCTGCTGAAGGAATAACAGAGCCAGTTAACTCAATGAAACTGCTGAACATCAAAGTGACTATCTTTGATGTCTTTGAAAGGATGATGTCCAGATTTTAAAACACCCCTGTCTCAAGATGAATCATTTTAGCCATTCATCATTCATACTCTGCCAAATTTATAAAAGAGCTGTCATTACTCACACAAAATTTGACTCTTATGTAACATTTAATCTAAAATATACTCAGTTGAACCTGTTTGGTTATTTTGAGCCATTTGGAATTTCTTTTCAGTGCTGTTTAAATGTGTCTGACAAATGTGATTATTATTACATTTATTTATAACTTATTGAGGGTTAATTGAAAATACGTTAGGTCCTGTATTAAGATTCATACACATCTTTTCTTTTCATCTTCAAAACAACCCTTTGAGATAGATTCCAAAATTACCTTATTTTATAGGTGATGAAACTGAAGCATAAAGAATAACCAAATTATCTAATCAAGGTCACCAAAATAGGAAACTTAGAAGCTTGAGAATCCCTAAGTTCATAAAGTTGTTATTGATGAAACCGGAACTGCAGTCAGGGCAAATGAACCCCAGGGCAGATATTCTAACAGCTGTACAATTCTATCTGCTTGATTAATTTATAAATTATTGAGGAAGACCAAGGCTTGGATATGTTAAGCTTCAACAGATCAATTATTCAGTGGCATGAAATGGCATGTGAATATTACAAAAATAGTGGAAATAACTTTGTTTTTTAAGGTAAAAAGAGAAAATGTTTCCTGTTTTTTGGTGTGTCTGGTTTGCTTGTTCTTAAAAAAATGCTTATTACTGTGAATTAATTTACATGCGAACTAACTTATACCCTGATATTGTCTTATAATTCTACAGAAGGCTTGCTTGAACCTACAGGATTACATGAAGATTACACTGAATCCTTACTTAATTAATGTAACCCTAGCAGCCAAAATGTGTAGCCAAGTGCTTTGCAAGGAGAAGGGAATTTGCATTAGGAAAAACTGGAATTCAGATGACTATCTTCACCTCAATCCAAGTAACCTTGCTATTCAAATTGGGCAAAATGGAAAGTACATAATACATGGAAAACCCACATTTGAAGACCTACAGCATTTTTCTGAAAACTTTCATTGCAGCTGTTACACTGACTTGAATTGTGAGCAGAAATCTGATTTAGAAGAAGTTAAGTTTATTAATGTGTGTGCTGTTGAAGACGTTTGTATAGACACCTCACTAAACCCAGATTCCAGTAATAAGACTCCCCCCCGTTTGGAACAGGAGACTCCTCCTTCCCAAAATAAGAAGAATGAAGGTTTGGACATTGGGGAGAGCAGCGGGGAGAGCTGGGAGAGTGGGGAGAGCGGGGAGAGCGAGGACAGCAGTGAGTCCTTCACATCCTCTGCCACAGTGTCTCCACAGATTCCTAGGAACGACATCAGTGGAGGACTCTTAATTCTATACATGTATTCACAGCATTTGAAATATTTGGCATAGGCTCGTGGAAACTAAACAATGCAAGATAGTAGGTGTCATCTTACAAAAAGAAATCCGATTTGAGTTTCAAGAGCAAAAGGTCTATTTTTGTATCAAAGACTGATTGCAGATTCTATAACTCTGGAAGGATTAGTTTTCTTCTGAAAACAGTGAAGATTTGAATAAAGCCAAGTTAACTGTAAATAAATGCCTCTATGAATAGTTTGTGATTTGTTAAAAAAAAATACAGTCAGAATAAGAAAATATTAATAAACAGTCATAATAAGCAGTCATAATCATTAAAATCCAAATAATCAAATAATGAATAATAAATAATAATTAATTAATTACTAATAAATGGAATAATACAATAATTAATAATTAATAATAAATAAATAATTAAAAGTCAAGAAAATGTTAAGGTGTAGTTTTTAAAAGGTAGCATGCCATATGTACCAATCTATCTCACAGAACTATGGTTTTTAGCTATTTTCCTTTTGGAAACAGTGCTCCAACTGTATTTTAGGGAAAGGTAAATTTTAGAAAATGATTTCTCTATATTTGCACATAATGACGTCTCCAGAATTCACATTTATAAAAATATTCTAATTTTCTTTTCACTCTTGATTGTCATACCTAAAATGCCTCATTTCATCTAGGTATCCATGTACTTGGGCATTCATATCCTTCAAAGAGCATTTTATCCAGTGCTCATTCTCTGCCAGGTTGGGCACTAAGAGTCACAGATGCAAGATGAAGTGGCATGCTTCTTGCCAGCTGAGTTTCTTTTGTTTGAAGAAAGCAGAAATTGAGTGGGGAAAACGATAACATAGTGTATGCACTGGCACGCAAATAAGAATTTGGTGTGTCAGAGGTTCCTGAGAAGAGGTAGTGTGTAAGTTGCCTTAGGGTTACACAGGTATAAGGTAGTCTCAGAGAGAAGAATCTTCAGAATGGAACACTGAGTGTGGTGATGAGTCATTTAAAGCAGATGATGGCCAAATGATGAACCACGCTAATAAGCTAGGATTTCACAATAATGACAGTCTCAGTCTTTATACCTGCCCAATATTCCCCACTTCTATCAAGTGCTCTAGAGTAAAAATCTGGAGGACAGGTATTTGTTCTATTTTGCTTACAGCTCTACCTTCAGTGGTGATGAACAGTACCTGGGTTTTCAGGGGGTGCCCATTAAGCAGTTGTGGAGAAAATTAAAGCCAATGGAGACTCACTAAAAGATTTTAAACATGAGAATGGTTCTGACCACTTTTCACAACCTGAGAACTCTTGGACCAATGCTGTCCTCAGAGTTTTTCAGCTGTCTCCCTCATTCTCCATTTTAATTATGATTCTTCCACCCAAACTGCGTTTTCATAAGTTAGTCATGAAAAGAAACAACTTGATAATGACCTGGGAAAGACATTTAATGGGCATCAGAGTAAAAACTGATTAGGACTTAGAAACAAAGGAGGAAGCAAGGCCAATGGAGAGGGAATGGATTTTGGAATTGTTTTAGCTTTTTTGCCACTGTGACCAAAAGACCTGACAAGAATAATTAGAGGAGGAAAGGTTCATTTGGTTCACTGTTTCAAAGGTCTCTATTTAAATGACAGCTGATTCCATTGCTCTGGACTCAAGGTGAGGCAAAACCTGGTGGAATGTGTGGCAGAGGAAAGCAACTTAGGACATGGCAACAAGGTAGTACAGAGAGTTCCACCCACCAGGGACAAAATGTAAACCCCAGAGGCACACCACCCACGACTGACCCACCTGTAGTCACTCTACACCTGCCTACAGTTAATACCCAGTTAATCCCAACCAGAGGATTAATGCACTGGTTAGTTTAAGGATCTCATAACCCAATCATTTCACTTCTAGGCTTTCCTGCATTGTCTCACACATGAGCTTTTTGGTGATACCTTACATCTAAACCATCATGGGAATTGAACAATTTTAAGGGAAAATTCTAACTTTTAATATTTGTTAGATGTATGAACCCATGAGAGTTAACCTGGCTCATCTTACATTTTAATAAAAAGTATAATAAAATATACCTTTTAGAGTTCCTGAGATTGGTTAATATAATACACAAAAAGCAGAAATAACAAATACCTGTGGGGAAAAGGGAATGAACACCTTTCATGACTATACAGTTCTGTGGTGATTTATATGTTAACTGAAATGAGCAATATTTTCATTTTAAAGTGTGCTTTTTAGACTAATTGGTAGGAAAAACTCCTGCTGAAATGTTATTTTGGGAAAGTCCTTTCTGAACTACTCCACCTAGTAAATATTGGTTCCATTTGAACTTGAAAAACTGCAATTTTGCATGAATTCTCAATCCTGAGTTCAAGATCCGTCATATCCCAGGCCCCAACAGCTTGCCTATCAGTGTCCTACAGTCTAGAGGACACGGATTCATATCCTCTGTTTCACTTGTAAAACTGCAGGGTTGTTTCAACACAATCATTCTGCACAAGGTCCTAACATGTTGATGGAATTAAATTTTGACATGAACCGGTAAGGTACTTGAAAGTGAAGCACCACCAATAAAGCTAATTGATAAAATTTAGACAACCTAGATATCTCTCTTTTATCCTCTGCTTGCGATAGATAGATATAATGAAGGAAGGAAGGAAGGAAGGAAGGAAGGAAGGAAGGAAGGAAGGAAGGAAGGAAGGAAGGAAGGAAGGAGGGAGGGAAAGAAGAAAACAAAACAAGGGAGTTTTCTGTGGTTCCATTGAGGACATAATTTGCACTGGGTTAAAAGGAACTTCTGATTCAGACATTATTAGCCTTCAACTTCTTGTTAAAGTATTCAAGAGATGTTGCACTTGAATACCTGTTCTGACCTTCACAAATGTCACTAAGCTTTCTCCCTTTCCTTTTGCCTCTGATATCCTTTTAGAAACAAAAAGAAATAAAGCCACAAAGCAATGGTACTGTTTGGGATGTTGCCAAATCCATCTTCTTTTCTGTACTATCTGATTATGTTACAGTCAAAGGCACTAAGGTCTTAAACTCTTTAAGGCATCCAATTTTCTGTAAGAAAAAGGGAAATGTTTATTTTGTTACAGAACTTGTTTCTTTAAGTTTTAATATCTGAGTTGAAAGAGCTGTACAAGCAATTTAAAAATGATTTGGCTGGGCGCCTTGGCGCATGCCTACAATCTCAGAGGTTTGGGAGGCTGAGGCAGGGAGGATAGCGAGTTCAAAGCCAGCTTCAGCAAAAGAAAGGCACTAAGCAACTCAGTGAGACCCTGTCTCTAAATAAAATACAAAATAGGGCCAGGGATGTGCCTCAGTGGTTGAGTGCCCCTGAGTTCAATCCCTGGTATTCCCCCAAATGATTTGAAATATTATTATATATTTAAAACTAACAATTTTTAAACAATTGAAACACTGTGTAGTATTTTATATTATGTTAATCTGCAATAGTTTTATTTTTGTAAAGTCATCGTCGTTCAAGGCAAAATAATACAAAGTAGAAAACTAATAGTCTCCTTCCCTCCCTCTTCTAGTGATAACTCTTGGTTACAGTTCCATGCTTATAATTCCAGAAATTTCTAGAAATATGGATGCAAATGCATGTGTTTGTGTGTATAATATGAAAACAAAAACAAGCTTTTAAAAGAACATTTCATTTTTTATTCCTGTATATGTTTCAAGTGGCATCTGACCATGATAATTATTATATATTTAAAGTACAAGAGTCACAAGTAGTTATAAATTCAACTATCTACTGAATTAATTTACTTTATGGGGTCATCAAATTTCAGTTTTGGGAAATAACTTTTGTGCATGTATGGTTCTGGGGATGAAGCCTAGGACATTGTGCATGCTAGTCAAGTATCTCTGAACTCCATTCCCACTCCAAATAACACCCATTTTTTTTCTTAACCACTGAGTTACATCCTTAGTCATTTTTTATTTTGCATTTTGAGACAGGGTCTCACTCAGTTGCTTAGACTGGCCTGGAACTTGTCATCCTCCTGCCTCAGCCTCCTGAGTTGCTGGGATTATAGGTGTGCACCACTTCTCCTGGCACAGCTCTTTTTAAGAAAAGTATCATTTAAATAAAATTCTAAAACCCATGCACTGCTAGTTTCTCATAGGAAATCCAATTGTTGACCACAGAATGGCTGGGAAAAAGCAAGCAATGCTAGTTCCGTTATTTGTAAGTTGCTGAGTTTGAGTAAGTTACTCATCCTCTCTGAGTTTGCTTCTTCAACTATAGAAGGTCAACTGTGGAGAAGACTAGAGCAAATAAACAGAAGTCATCAGGATAGTGCTTGTACAAGAGCACTGTGTGCTCTAAGCAGCAATAGCTATCTATTTGAAACCTTTATATACTTCTCAAAAATTCCCCTCTATTCGATGATTTAAAGTTTACATTTGGAATATAAAATTGACTTGATAGTTTCAGTTTGAAGGATAGGATATTAAGTAAAATGCATTTATAACATGTTTAACTTGACTACAGACTACAAGTTAATTCTAGCATAAAGTGCTATTTTATTGATGTACTCTATCTTATGACTGATGTGTTACATCTGTAATTATATTCTATAAAAATTCAAAACATTGTCCTAATACAACTGTGTTCACTTATTTGGTCTCTAGTCATTTCCATATAGCACATATCTAATTAACAAATAGTAGGTGGATCACGCAATTTTAATTGAGATAGATTACTTCTATCCCAATTTGCTAAATCTAAATCGCAGATATAGGGACAAGGATAGGCTTGGATCAATAAAAAATTATGCAATTTTTAGTGTATAAATCATTACAAATGACATTTTTTGCTAAGTTTTAATTAAAGATGGGAAATAGAAACTATTTTGGGGTTTAGCATTTATACTGTATCTACCATTTTGTAAAAGTTGGGAAACATCAAGACCACATAGTATGTGGTACACATGTGTTTTTGAGTTAAGTATACTTTTGTATGCTATAGAAAACTTCAGGCACTAAGTGGTAAGAGTCAATTTCACTGACTAATAATATCAGTGATGTAT